CTGCTCTAGTTCTTCTTTCCTTGGTCCCTGCAGACTAACAGCAGAGCAGGTGCACATTTTCATTTCATTCGTGGGAGGCAAAATCACTTGTTGTTTTACTGATAAACTATTTACAGTGAGAGCCAGTATGAATTGAATAAGGACCCTCACAGGGAGGAGTGCGTAATACATGGGCTTGGCTTACAAAGATGCCTTAAATCAGCCCCAAATTTGACATTACTGCTTCTTTTAAACAAAACAAGAGTGTTTCTCATTCCTGCAAGCTGGCAGACACCCTGTTCAGTTCAGTTAATTCAGCAGGGACATAGAAAGATTTTTTTAAAATTATTTTTTTCTTTAGCAGTAGAAAAATTGTACCCTGGGGGCATGTTTCTTTGACAGATTGGGGTTATATGGTTGAAGCTGACCTATGCAGCTTCCTTCCCCTTCCCTCCTGGCAGGTGGGATGAAGCATGTATGATTGGAAGTGGCTATCCTTATTTTGCTCTTTATCTGATGGAAGGCCACCAGAGTAGTCAAGACGGACTTGTTATAGATTTTGCTTTTCCTGTGAGGGATGCTTGAAAGCTCAGTGAATAACCTGCAGAAATGAAAAATAAGATATTTTGGCTGTGTGGGAGGGAAGCATTTAATCACAGCGAAGAATAGGGGATTGCACAGTCAAATAAGCAGTTCTTGGCAGATTTTAGAGACCAGCAGTGGGAAGTAAGAAGGGTGTATCGAATAGTAGTGTAGGAAAGAATGGAAATGAACTGAAGAGAGATAATAGCACCATATTTAGAATCTGTCACTTTATCAGAATTATGTTGACTGGTTATTAGCAAAAGAGAAGGAATTGTTTTTTTAGAGGAAGAAGGGTTTCATTTCCCCTTCATTAGCTGAGGAATCTGCTGACAGGAATTAAGGCAGAATATTACTAAATTGGGGGCTTCAGCCACTCCCTCATGTCTGCAATAAAGGGTTATTTTTAACCCAGATCTGCTCACTGACTGCGTTTGCAGCATGGCCCTACAAAAAAAAAAACCTGCTGGCAAAACTAAGGCTGCTTTGTGCTGCTATGTGAGAATGGGAAGGAGAGGTCCGGGTGGGAATTCTGTAGGGCAACAGTGCCCCTGACGCCTGTGTCATGAAAATGTGCCTCAAGTTAACTATAGTCCTCTGACCTCAATCCATGCTGAAACGGGGGCTTTGCATAATCATTGGAGGAGGCGGTTCCTGCTCCAAAAGATGTTATGTTTTGAATTGCCAAAATAGACAAAGGAGACATTGTCAGCCCTTCACACATGGGAAACAGAGGCAGAGAGAGAGATTTGTCTGGGGCACATAGGCTAATTTTGACAGAAGGGGTACTTAACGCTCAAGTTTCCTGAATTAATTTGTGTAGTACAACTGCAAGATTGCCCTTCCTTTCTAATATTGGGGTTTTTTTCTCCCTGAAACTTCAGTTCTAATACAGGGTTATTTATCAAACACATGATTTCATTTTGCTCTGTTTAATAAATATGTTAGTGATTCTTTCCTCAGGCAAAACTGTGCAGCTTGCATGCAGATCCAAGTTGCAACATTGAAGCTGTAAATGCCCCAGGGAGCTTCAGGTGGATTTTCACATTGGGACTGCCAGGGACAGTAATGCAAGGAAAGGCAGAGGTGTGGCTTCAGCTTCTGCTTTTCTTTGTCCTCGTGGGGATCACAACCCCATGGATATGTAGAAGGGGAGCCTGCAAGAGCAGTAATGCTGTTCTGCCCAGCTTCACATGGGAAGAAAAAGAAAAGAAGTATCTAACTAGAATGTCCATTTTTCTTGCTCAAGCTTGTTAACTCCAGGAAGGCCAGTGAGATTTGGCATTGCATGACCAAACTGAGGCTTTTTGGGTTTTTTATGAGGCAGTATTGAGTGGAACCATCTGGGCTAGGAGAAGACCACACTTATGAGATGAGCCTTTAGGAATATTTAAGTTAAGTAGCTGTCTGGGGCACCATGCTGAAAGGAAGGGCACTCACAGCTGCATGTATTTTATGGGTTTATTTTATCTCTGATGACAAAAGAGAACTTACTAGTCATGTGGTTCCTCATAAATTTCAAACCACTGCTGACAAGTGGCACTGCCTGTGTTCTCAACCACACTGGTGCAAAGTTCCCCCGACTCTCTGGCTTATGATGTTAATAACGATGCTGCTAACAGATGATGCTTTAGAGAGATATCTAACTTTTCTCCAAACTTAAAAGCAATCCCCAAGTTACAGTTTGACAATGGAAGCTTCAGTATCTTAAGAACCTTGGTGAATACTTCCATGGTCATCCATCTAATATCAAAGTGGCTCACCTCTCCGGTTACTGAGGCTCCACTCTTCCAAAAGTCTTCCAACTTTCCTGAGAGCTGAGTGAATCTGCATCTCTGAAACCAATATCCTTCTAGAAAGTTAAATACAGGTTTGGGAGCATAACTTTCAGTATGTCAATGGTGCACCTCAGCTTAGGCAGTTTAAACTATTCTTTTGCATTGCAGTCTCTGTTTGGTTTGTTTTGGTTTTAATTTATGCCCTTTTGGGGGGCAGCTTCCTAAAGTACCTCAAAGGGCCTCGTTCCATTGCCCGTATTTCAGTTTCCAAAGATGTGTCTTCTTTCCATGTTAGGAAGCCAGCTCCCCTCCTGCAAGCACGTTTCTGTGTGACAGACCTGGAAAGGGGCACATCAAATTCAGTATAATTTCAAAAATGTAGCCTATTTTACTATGCTTTCTATTCACCGAGATGAATCTTAGAGAGAGATCGCACATGGTAAAATACTTACCAGTGCATCACCTCAACTAAAATAATAGCTCTTACAGTGCAGGTGTGAAGAAAGAAATACTTGCTCCTTAACCTTATTTCAATCCATGTCCTCTTGAAGCTGTCTCTGTTTCAATGCACCCTAGAAGCTTTGCATTATATTTATTAATCTGATTTACTAATAGACTCCTAAAGTATAAACAGAGAGAGAGGAAGAAAAGACGAACTGGACTTAGGCTTACAGCAGTCAGATTTATGCCAGCTCTGCCACAGACACCCATTTGACTTTATGCACATCATTTAATATTTGTGGTTCCCCTGTCTACAAAATGCAGATAATAATTCTTCTTTTTTTCCTATCCATACTTGTATAGACCACAGGTTTGGACAGGAATCAGCTCCTCCTGTATCTCTGGATGCCTCACAAATGAGTCCCTGCTCTTAGGTGAAACTTCTAGTTGCTTCTGTAAGCCATGTAATAATAATTGGGCTTCAACCTGTTTCGGGAAAAAATGCAACCTTTGGATTACACTGGTGTAAATAAAAAGTCCACTACAGTTCACAAGTCAAAAAATGCTGGTAGTGTTTAGCATCAATGTCTGTTGCTTGAACATCTGGCATTCATCATTGCTTTCCTTTTCCTTCCACTGTCATATTTTATCCCCATCTGGTAGAGGTTTCTCAGCACTGTCTATATAAATTATAGCTGCATCTCAGTCTGGGTAGTCAAATCATTACAGGCTGCAATGTAAATGAAGGAAGAAGAGGTAAATTTAAGGGAGGTGTTTCTCTTACACATTCTGCTCTTCTTCTTTCTCCCCTCTCCCTGTACACAGACAGTACTAGACAGTATTACTAGACAGTGCGATACCCCTGCTATGAAGAGAGATGGAAAAGTTTCCAAAAATAGCAAATGTTTTTACCAGCCCTAGTTCTGAAGGCAGAAAGCAGGAGAGGAGTTGGAGCCAGACTGGACACCCACTGCCATTGTTGGAAAGACCAAAATATACTGCTTTGGAACAACCCTTCAGCAAGTTAATAATAAATTGGGAAAGCAAACATTCCTTAAAATCAGACTTCCTGGGCAATGTCTTTGATGTATTTTCTTAAAATTAAATTACTCTTATTGCAGTAATTTAGGTTCCTGCTAGGAAGAATACTATTGAAGGTGCTAGGTAAATATGGGTGTGTTAATATTAGCCCAAAGCAGAATTTTTTTACTTTATTTTTTCTCAAAAAACTGTGCATAATGGCCATCACTTTCAGCTCTTCCAAGCCATGCCACCAGGGCAGTGAGCCATAGCAGCATTCCAGAGATGCATTTCTGGTGAGGAAATGAATCCACCACCACCCCTACATGGTACTTCCAGTAGCATGCGTGCGTTACCCTGCCAAAGCCAGGTGCTCCCATTTGCACAGTGTCGCACAGCCCCATGCGCTGGGAGCACATGTGGATTTAATTCCCTACCAGCTTTAGCAACTAGAGAAGGTATTTCCTTGTTCTAGAAACACTTGGAAACACCACAGTTCCAAGCTACTGGCAGTTGGTGAAAAAAGGCCCATTTCCCTCTGTCTGAAGAGGGTCATTGCAGACTGCCATCGCTATCAATCCCAGAACTTTATCCAGGCTCAAGGTGGGCTGAAGCTGGAGTGCCTCTCTGTACAAGACAGCTGTCATGTTTTCAGTTCAAGGGATGGCTTGTATTGTTGGGGACTTCATTATACTTGAACAGCAAGAATGACCCGTGTCGCTATGTGTGTTCCTCCTGATTGTCTTGCGTTTTCCTCCTTTTTAGTCTTGTGTATCAAAAGTGTGTCTTAAGTTTGTTTGAATTGACAGCAGATTAGCTGAAATGAGAACAAACTGTTGCTACTATTGCTTGTTGTCAAGTCTTGCCTTTTCTTTCTACAAAGCATATTCCATTCCTGATTTCCTGTTATTTTTCACTTATGTTCCTGTGGTGTTATCCTGCTACTTGGTGCAGACTTCCAGATTGCAGCTCAGCAGCCAGATCGATCAAGCAGTAGGTGTCCTGGTCAGCATCTGCACAAAGTGAAAATGGTAGGCCCAGCTCATAAACAGAGCAGTGGCTGGGCTGACCTGCAGAGCAAGTCCTGGCTGATTCAGAGGGCGCATGGTCATGTGAAAGGCCAGGTAGCCCCTGAAGTCACAGCTGCTCTCTGAAGTTGGTAGATGAGTTGAATCCTGATGATTTGTTCTGACATTGCAGCCTGTTGCCGGAAATGGATGTCCTGGTGAAAGTGTTACTACTTGGCAAGACTAAAATGGTGGGCAATGAGAAAGAGAAACATGGGTCTAATGTTGCACAAACTACTTTGTGTGAGATACTGCAAGAAGAAAATAATCCAAGAGTACCGTGCAATGGATGCTGTGATGTTGATTTTCTCTTGTCTTTTTGATATCTGCACTAGCTCTCAGCTTGCCAAGCATCTTTCTTGTTACTAGCAAAATATTTATTTTATTTTCTCTTCTTCTTGTAGAAAATTTTACTATATCACGCTGCTGAGAGACCCCGTATCTCGTTACCTCAGCGAATGGCGTCACGTCCAACGAGGAGCTACCTGGAAGACTTCCTTGCACATGTGTGATGGCAGGACACCAACTCCTGAAGAGCTGCCGTCGTGCTATGAAGGCACGGACTGGTCAGGCTGCACACTGCAGGAGTTCATGGATTGCCCATATAATTTGGCCAACAACCGCCAAGTGAGGATGTTGGCCGACTTGAGCTTAGTGGGCTGCTACAACATGTCTTTCATCCCAGAGAACAAGCGAGCACAGATCCTGCTGGAGAGCGCAAAAAAGAACCTCAAAGACATGGCTTTCTTCGGCCTGACAGAGTTCCAGAGAAAGACTCAGTACCTGTTTGAGAGAACTTTTAATCTGAAATTCATCCGGCCCTTTATGCAGTACAATAGTACCAGGGCAGGAGGGGTGGAGGTGGATAATGACACCATCCGGAGGATTGAGGAGCTCAATGACTTGGACATGCAGCTCTATGACTATGCAAAGGACCTCTTCCAACAGCGCTACCAGTACAAACGGCAGCTAGAGAGGATGGAGCAGAGGATAAAGAATCGGGAAGAGAGGCTTCTTCACCGGTCCAATGAAGCACTTCCCAAGGAAGAGACCGAAGAGCAAGGACGCTTGCCCACTGAGGACTACATGAGCCATATTATAGAGAAGTGGTAGCCTAGGCAGACTTTTATATTAATGATATTCTAGGATTTCCATATAAAAGATCATGGAAGTAAAATTACAAAAACAACAAAAAATATTTTATTTAAAAGCAAGTCTGTAAAACAGAAGATAGATTGCTTCCTTAAGCATAGGGTCTTTTTACTGTTTCTTACAAGACCGCTGAGATTCTTAAAAAAAAAAATAAATACATAAAAATAAAAAAAGGGTCAGCATTATAATGCAGAGGTAAAAAATGCACAAATGCAGTTACCCACTCTTAAGGCTAAATACAAAACAATGTTTCTTATCCTCACAATTCAAACACAAATGGCAGAAGTAGGATTTTTTAAACCTGTTTATCCCCTGAGCATAATCATATAAAGATACATAATTAAAAAACAAGGAAACTGAGGGGTTTTTTTGTGGGTGTTTTTGGAGGTAGGATGGGAATTGCATTGCTTGTAAGTAAATAATAATGGTGACTAAGTTGAGGATGTGCTCTCCTGTCAGGCTGTGATCTGAGCACAAGGGTGGTCACTTTGTTTCAGCTGGCAGCCACTGCCAGAAAGTAGAGCACCATAAAAATAAAAGAAGATGACAAACATTGGAGGATGAGAAACATTAAAGCAAATTGACTATGGCCTAGGATATGTCCTTAGCACAGTGGTTTCAATACATTGCACTGGTATCACATACACATACGCAACTTCATCACAAAAACAATAGGGAATTCATGTGCAGAGCTCCTAGATTCGTTTCACATGCAGGTCCCAAAACAACTTAAAAGCTGATCAAACTCCACATAGGCTCAAACATGCACTCACATGCCATCCTGTCACCCTACACAACTGCTGCTCATGCCTTCATCAGTATTATGTGTTAACAGCACATGAAAACCCTATTCCCCATACTAAAAAAAAGGAAGAAGTAGTTAAATAGCAATACTCCCTCATAAATCTGCACAACAAGTTCCAGGAAGACCCTGCAAATAATCAGTCATTAATGGCAACATGATCAGGGGGTGATTTTGTTTTGTTTGTTGCTATGTGAAATACTGAACTAGAACAAGCATACAGACGTACCCATATCTGTATTTTTTCAGTTATTTTTACTTGCTTTTTTCAAGAGACAATGGGCATCAGCCTGCTTCCAGTGAAGTCACTAGAACTGATTTAAGAGGGAACAGGATGGGGCTCTCTTCCAGAGCTGTGAAAATTTCTGACTATGGGTCTGAATTAATTATGAGACAGTGCACATTGTCTTTTGGCAGAGTGCCTGTTCTGCAGCTCTTACTTTAAATGAACAAGCTGTGTTCATAAAACTGGAAAGCGGAATCGTGGATAATGTTTTTTCAGTCTCAGACCACTTTCAAAGCAGAACTCTTTTAATGCTGTTTTTTAGGGACTCTCATAAGTTTAATCCTCCAGTATGGTGACAGTCTAACCAGGTTCTGCTTACTGACTTTTGAGTCATAGAATAACAATGACTTCTCTAATTTCTCTTCCCACTCACCAAATTAAAGTATGGCTTATTTTCCTGCTGTTGCAAGCACTTCTTTGTTTGGCTGGAAGCATGGAAATGAAGCAGTTTTTGCCTATTTCATGTCTCACCCCGCTATTACTCAGCCTGTAAGACCTGAACCAGCTATTGTTTAGGGTAAACTATGAACCAAATGGAATATGATTTGATTTTCAAAGGCCATGTTAACTGCAGATCGAATATGGCATTGAAATCACTGGAGGAGAGGCAGAGCGCTGATGCACTCAGCTTTAGCATGCCATTTTTACAGTGTCCCTTTCCCATCACATGAATCCACTGAAGTGCTGCTTGGTTTGTATTTTAAATCGCTCTCTCCGTCTCTGTACACAGTTTCCAACAGTTTCAAATTCAGACTGAGTTTTGCAAAAGAGGTGGCTGCCTTAAGCAGAGGAGCTGCCTTGTTTCTTCTGTGTACACCCTGGGGGATACACCTTGCTTTTGGAGATGTTCTTCCCCAGAAGAGTGAAGATGACTAAAAACTTAAGAACAGAAAATACAAACAGCACTTTGGGCTCAGATACAACCCTGTTACAGCCCCAATCCAAAGTCCACCGAAGTAGAAGGATGTTTTTCCTATTGATTTCAGATTAATTTTGATCAGGTCTGCATCCTGGTGCTGTAAAGTGCCCAAGCCCATGCTCATCTGCAAGCACAGTGGGATGTTGTTACACATGCATTTGGCTGGCACCAATATTTGCTAGTGTTGTCGCTGTCTTTAAGATTCTGCCACACAATGGCCCCTGTTCCCAGAGATGTGTAGCTTGGCCATAAGTGTTTCCTCCTAGCTGAAAAGTGGGAAGCAAAATGAAGCAATTTTCGGTTGTTGGCTTGGGGGCAGAAAGTATTACAAATCCATTTGCTCATCTCTGAATTCCACGACTTGGGGGGGAGCTATGTCTGCTAGTTCCCAGCGCTTTTATGTGTTGCTGTAACTAAAGAAAACATTTATATTTTAAAAATGCAAGTTTACAGGCTGTTTACCCACAAAACCAATACACAGGATATAAAAGGCAACTGTTTTACATGCACAGTTTCCAGCTTTCCCCAAAGGCTTTTCACGGAGCATCCTGTGTTATGGATCCATAATGCACAAATGGTTCCTGCAGCTAATCTATATTCGAGGTGCACATCGGCGCAGCTCTGGCAGGGCCGTGTGGTGAATGCCCAGGCCACGTCTGCATATGCCAGTGCTGACTGCTGAGAGCCATTCTGCACCAAACGCCAAATTCTGCTATCATCTACCAAAGGGCGACAGTAAATGGGACTGTGTATGGTTAGGACCGGCATAATTTGGCCTGGTTTGCCTGAGTTGTTTCTGTGTTCTGGGCTCTGAGTAACCAGCTGGATTTTAATGGATCTATCTGCAGCGTTCTCTAAATCAGAGCCAGCCTCTGACCCTAGGAGCGTGTCAGTAGAAGACCTTGTTCCAACATTTTCTTTGTAATATATTACAGTAACAAGCAAAAGAAATGAAACTATCTTGAAAACTGTCTTGTTAACAGTTTCACTTCAACCCACAAAAGGAGGGCTGACCTCAGCTTAGCAGTGAGGCAGAAATTTCTAGATTCAAATCCTGCGCCCAGCAAATGCCTTAGTTGCTCCACCTGTACATTGGGAATAACAAATTTACGGACTGTAAAGAGGTACTCCAAGGTATGAGAAGCATAGGGCACTTTGAAACAGATCTAAGTATAGGAAATTAAGAGAGTGACCCAAAAGCCATTGCTCACCCTGGCTGCTGTGCTGGTCTGTTTATGGCTGTAGGCCATGCTTTAATTTATTGTAAGTGCTGTGTGCTAGAGGATGGGCTGCAGGACATACCTGGCACTATTTTCTTCCTTTAGTGGGTTTAAGGGAACTTTTTTAACATAATGTGAATGTAGTTTTTTGTGATTTATATGTACCACAGTTTGAAGTGGTACAATTTCTTTCATTTTTAGGACTGATTATTTGATGCTACAATAACATGAAAAATGTATATGTAGTTTTAAAATGAATGGAGAACAACGGCTTAAAGGCACTCCGGCAGAAGTAGTGGCCAGATAGTACGTTCTTGTTCAGTATGTGCCCCTTTCTTCCAAAATGTTTTTCCTGTGACTTCCAGATGCACTGAGACCTTCTTCACTACATGAAGTGTTTCTTCATGGGGCCCATCAACACATCATGATCCAGGTCAGGACAGGCGAGTGCTAGGTACAGTGAGGCCAGGTGCAAGGTTGCGACCTGTCTCTTACTGGAGTTGGTGAGGCAGTTTCCCTTGAATTCAGATTTTACCTGGTCCTCTGACATGTGGATGCTTGTCCATCCTACAGTGTTTCTGCCATGGTTCCAGGGACACCCTGTGAAAAGCCTCACAAAAGCTGGAGCTGTCTAAGGTGTTTCTAAGGGTTTATACAGTCAGCAGTGTGAGCGAGCATTTCGGACAGGCAGCTATGTGGTAACAGGCCAAAGATGATGGCTCTTAGCCTCTGCTGTCTTACACTGTGCTGGCCCTTGCACATCCGCAAACAAGGATGATGCTCTGGCGATTTCCCAGCAGACTCCAGTCCTGCTTTGGGAAGGTGGAAACGCCAAGACATGCTGCAGTGCTAAGAAGGAGGAGGTCTTTTTTGCTTTTAGTCACCTGAACAGTATTAACTTCACTGCTTGGTAGGTGTTGTTGCTGAAGAAAACCTTTTATTGCTCATTTGTCTCATCCCAGCTAGCTCTGTTGAAGGAGTTTGCCACCTACTCCAAAGTTTCCCAGACAATCAGATGCCACCATGTACTGGACCCAGGTAACAAAATACGGGATTGACTGCTAAGGTTGCAGACCCAGGCTGTCATGGGGTTCAAAGTCATGAACAAAAAAAAAAACCCCTCTCGCCAAAGGATCAGTGTGAGTTTCTGGCTTGCCTGAATTTCTCCCGTCGTGCCCAACATTTTGGAATAAATGGGGAGCACTTCAGGTTAATGTTTTTCCCACCTTATAGTCCTTACTTGCTTACAAAACTGGGATGGCAATGGAAACAGCATAAAGAAGATCCCAACAAGCTTTTGGATCCTCTCTCCCAGGGCTGTCATGTAGGAGAGAAAGGGCAGTGCAGTTGCTAAGAATATGAGCAAGGCAGAATGACCACCACAGTGGCAGTACGGACAGATGTCATTTAGGAAGTTTTCACTCTGAGCCCCTCAAATCACTTCACAGACCACTGAACAGCCACAGAAGGTAATGACCGTTACAGAACAGGGCCTGACCAAGATTTATATCCTGGGGTTAAAAGCTTCTCACTGATGTTTAGAGTTACTCAGACCCTCCCCTATCCCATAGAATTTTCCAAATGTCACAAAAATGGGTGACACTACAGGAAATTTCCAACACAGACTATGCTAAGCATTATATTTCCAGGGCTGTATCTTGGAATGCAACTCACACTATCTGCTTGATTCAAATCACAGGGCTGGCTGCATTATCTTTTTGTTCTTGTTTTCACTAATATTAGCGGATGATGTTCCAGTGGCAGAAGTGAATGCAGGATTTGCTGCCTGGTCAGCAGTAGAGCCAAG